ATATATATATTTACAAAATTATACCTGGCCTCCTGTGATTGTCAGAGCTGAACAGTATCTCAATTACAGCAGTACAATGTGGCTTTTAAAGTGCCTGTATATTTGTCTCAAGTAAAAAGGGGAAAGAAGTATTGTCTATTAAGTGTCAAAAGCCTTTTCTTTAATCACAGAAGGCTTGGACAGACTAAGGAAATATTTCATCTGGAAGAGAAATGCTAAAAACTACCCTTCACGTTATTGGAAAACCTATTATCAAATGCTAAACCCTCTTCTTAAATCCCTGAGTATACACAGCAACAGAGCAGACTTGGTTCTAAGTATTTAAACCTTTGTTAAGGAAAAGACAACATAAAAAGGGATGCAATCCACCTGCTAATTAGAAACTTTATTTGCCGAGATACTGTTCATTTGAGCTTTTTAGAACATTTCATTCTCTTTGTACTTTCAAAACGAGACTACATTTTACTTACGGGGAAATGCAGTTGACTTTTACTCCTCTGTCAATCCACTCGGTTCCCAGTGTCTGTGTTAATTTTACGACCCCGGCTTTCGAGACGTTGTACGCCAACTGCTTCTGCGGGTGCGGGACTAGAAGGGATTCAGAAATAGAAAATTATTTATTCTCCACAAATTAAGATAGCTTAGGTTATACATGGACAATTCCCTGCATTGAGATAAACTATTTGCCACTTTCCCTGATAGTAGACAGGGCGCAACAAGAATTTAGCCACCCACAACACAAAACTCTAAATTTGTATTTTGCCATCTAACATTTTTGCTCAGCAGCTGGGCTACTGGAAAAAAATGGAGAAAAAAAAAAAAAGAAATAAAGAAATTTCAAAAGTTCCATATTTGGGCAAAGCCAAAACCAATGTATTAAACATACATATGCAGTATTAGACTACTCCCAAGAAAGATAAATAATCATCTACACACATGAACATTCATATATTATACACATATGTATGTTTATATACAAACTACTTATACACTGTAATACTAATAAAATATAGTATAGCATAATGATATGATATAACATGATATGATATCACATGATCTAACAATATGATATGATATCACGTGGTATGATATAATATAATATGATATAATGTGATATTAGATAATGTAATATTGTAAAATATAATATAAGTGCATAATAGATTTTATATAACATGTTACATTCTATATAGCTTCTTGGTACAAACTATTCTCCTTAATTTCTAAATTATCCACAGTCTGAAGCAAACACATATTATCTAATCAGTGTTTGTGTGGATGTGAGCACAGGTGCGTCCCAAAAATTCAGAACACCCACCACTTTCAAAATCTGAAGCTTTTGAAAATGCTTCAGAGATGTCACATGTCAGTCAGAGAGGGAAAATGATCGGCTTGCTAATTACAATGTTCAAGCTTGCTAGTGCTGTGTGCTCGGGTGGCTCTGCCCCTCCACCAGCTCTCACACTTGCAATATTCCCAGAAGAGCTACTTAAGGACAAGTCCCCAGTGGGTGTAAAGTGCTTTTAACCCACGGGAGTCAAACCAAGTCGGTCCAGCTGTTGGGATTTACACCCACAAAGCGTCTCTCCTTGGACTTTTCTGGCTGCCACCACGACTTCATTAAACAAATCCAGTGCAAAGCACTGATCCATAATTAGCACTGTATTGGTACTGAGCGTCACTGAGATGCTGCCTCTTTCATGGAGGGAGAGTGGGGAAAATCAGTGCTAAATATCAGTAATCACAAAGGCAAGTAATTGTAGCCTGCGGGGTTAGGTAACGCTGAACCCTGGAAGCAGGTGAATCACTGCGTTTGTGTAAGGTACAGCAGGCAAACCCCACAGCATTTTGGTAAAAGCACATAAGCAGCATTGGTAGATGGCATTAAATTGGTCTTAATTTATTAAGTTAAGCTGGTCCATCAGTTCTAGCTCACTACCATCCATGCTACCCCAACACATCCACTATTGCTTTTATTGACAAAAACTATTGGTTTTGAGTATGTCAACCTAAAGGGTGAAAAGAAGATGATAACAAGTTGAGTTGTCCAAACCCTGACAGAGCCAAAAGCCCTGCTGTAAATTACTGAGCATGTGAATAAGGACCTTTGCCTTGAACATAGATGTTTGTGAACAGATTTAAAGCTTTAAAGCACACACGTGATGGGAGCAACAATTAGTGTTTCTTTTTTTCTGCATGTGCTGAAGGTTCGCTCAGAATTTGGAGGCCTTTTGCTTGCTACAAAGAGCATTTCACCCCATGGCCCCCTTCTGCCAGCATTTATTCTGTGCTCACTTTTTGTTCAATATTAAATAATTCACATTTCGACCGGCAGAACGGCTTTGCCCTCTGCATGTGCCTGTTGCCCCCCAGACGCAGCGCGCCGTGTGGGCTCTCGAAAAGGTGTGGAATGTAATTTCTTGATTAATTGCCACGCATCAGCTCCAAGTTACATACAACTTCGGTAGTTAACCTTCTAACCTCCCAAAAGCAGTTCTTTGCTAAACTTTCCAAACGTGTCTGTTTGTGATAAATCATTCGGTGTTTGCTAAGAGGGTAAGAGTTTTGGCACCGGCTCTGCACCTCTAGCGCATGTGGGTGAGAACAGCAAGTTGCTGCAAGCTATCAGAATCAGCTTTCTGATTTGGGGTGGGTGCTCAGACAGGGTTTTCAAGAGTCCTTCCATGCAAATGCTTTTGTCTTCATAAGAATATCTAAGGAAAGTAATTCAGAAGATGAAATTTCCCCCTCCTGAGACACTTGACCCCTCTAAACGGGAAGAGCTCAAGAAGAAGCCAAGTGTTGTGAAGCTCTGGCACTGGGTGGGCTTTCTGCAGCTGAGCACCCCGCACCACCTCCTCTGTCCTTACCTAAGGTGGTCTCCTATAGACAGGAGAGCAAATCTACAACCCTCCAAACTCACACAAAATGGGGCTAGAGCTTGTGAATAAAGCTATGCCTCCAGCAGTGTCACCAAAAAAATCTGAGTTTGTAAGGCTTCTGGGAAGCGAGGACACTCACTCCCGTTTCAGATGGAAAAGATGGGAGGGAAGCAGATGAAAATGCTGCCAACATCAGCTGCCTTACATTTTAAACACCTGACACTATGTTTTTGCAACCTTGTTCGGTGCATAAGGCTTCTAGCCTGACCTTGAAGCAGCCGTGTAATGTCAATGAGAGGTGCACACAGATAGAGAAGACCAGACCACTTACCACTAAAGATATTCACTGTAAAAATTACAGATCTGAGTTACACCTGTGCAAATCGCAGAGCCGCAGCAGCCTCGTCTCCGCTGCTGAAGCATACGTCTGGAATAATTCCAGTGAAATACCAGAATCAAAATGCACATATGCAAAATGTATGCAGCTTATCTTCAATTAATTAAAACTGATTCTGAGCAGTGTATCTGGAAAAATCACAAACAAAAACCTCCCTATCCTGCTAAGTGTCTCCTCGTTTTCCTGTATCTCTGAGGAAGGACTCAACCTACAACAAAAAAAAATATCCCCTAACTATTTCTAGAAACATTTCATACTATGCCAGTTGGCCAACATACTTAAATAACCAACCAACCAACATATTTATTTAACATTCAGCAGATGGACATGATATGAACATCGTGGTTTTCAGTCGTAGTTTTATAACTACTAGATTTTTTCAATGCCAAGATTCAAACAGGTTCAGAAGGTAAACACATCTCTTCGTCTATTAACTTCTGGCCTAGCATGCATTAACTTTCAATGACATTTAAATGCATCTTGCAATGAGCCTTCCAGGCTGCTCTCAGGGTTGCTTTCCAGTGTTTGTTCCTGCTCCAGGACAGATACTGCCCTCAAACGTGATCCCCACGTGGGTCTCAGTGGACTTGGCACGCCAGCCAAGGAGGTGCAGCCCCGAGTTGGGGCTGGGATGGGTGCCGTGGTGGAATGGCATTACGTCCCGGCTCAGCAGAACTGTGCCAGGGCCTGATGGAGAAACAGGGAAATGCTTCTCCTTAAGCAGTGGAGAACACTTCTGGGCTGCAGGAGCAAGGCTGGGAGCAGTGTGCCAAAGCAGCAGACCCCCAGCTGGTGCCAATTTCCAGAGCTTCATAACTTTCTCTAGGGCGGAATACTTGCCAGTAAATTTTGCTTTGCAAGGATGATGTGGACAGTGACAGCCCAAGCCCAGACCTGAGCCCCACCGTGCAGAGCAGAGCACAAAAGTCTGGGGCATTTGAAATTTAAAGCTTTACATTCTTTTCAAAACTATTGTTCTTTGGGAGATTTTGTAACTCTACAAAGCTGGGGCGAGGGATGGTGCCTGTGTTTAAGCATAAGTAAAACAGCTGGTAAAGACACTTGAAAAAAAGATTAACAATGGCATTATAAATGCATTTTTGAAGAAACATTTAAAGTTACTGTGCAATAAACTGAGCAGAATGTCACAGAATGTCAAACTGGGCACAGTAAAAATAAATGTTATTCCCAAGGAAAATAAAAAGACTGCATATTTATGTAACATTCAGCAGATGGACATGATATTAATACAGGGGTTTTCAGTTGTACTTTTATAGCTACTAGATTTTCTTGCCTAACTTGGCAACCCAAGGCACCATTTGATTTGTGGATTTGGACAATACTGCAACAGATGTCCAGACCAATAAAATAAATTCCTAAAGGGCTATGCTTAATTTGTGTAATTGATCAAGTTTTGTTACATGGGCCTCAGTTCACCAGCATGTAACTGCCTTCCAGATTAGCTCAGCAGTAGGGATTTCATTCCATATGTTACAATGGTTTATTGGCGCTTTTGACAACACTGCTGATTCAGCAGCGTTGGTGGAGACACCTGTTGGCAACAATAATGAAATAAAACCCACGGGTACCGGGGCGAAGACCGGCGCAAAAGCTTTCGGGTGGCTTGTAAACATCACAGGGGCACAGCTTCCCGCATTCAGACGTATTTTCCTGAAATTACCGGGGAGTGCACCAGCACCTCTCCCATGCCATCAGTGCATCAGAGTCAGAGAAGGTGACTCCGCCTCTTCTATAAAAAGTAATAAGTGCTCTAAAACATAGAGGACAGATAAATGTTGAAAAATGATATCAATAAAAATTTTGTAGTACATTTCCTCTAATACAAAATGTCAGTGATTTACTCCTTCCCAATACAGGTTTAATTGATTCAAATAGCATCAGTAGTAATTAAAATATGGATTCTGAAGCACAACTGTTAGCTCTCATCACTCACCTATTAAACTTGCCATAGATGCTGTGTTAATTATCTTCCCATATCCTTGATTCAGCATAATGCGGCCTGCAGCCTGTGACAGAAATTAAAGGAAAGACCAGTGACCCTTTTTGTGATTGTGCTAATAATGACATGATAATAAATTAGTCTTCACTTTTCAGAAGAGTTTATGTGCTAACACTTTTTTTTTAAGCACTTGATATAAAAACTTGGTATAAAAATGGCTGATGCAGGAAAAATCCCATTGCCATTTCAGACCCTCTTCACTCTTGGCAATATTTTTCAAAATAATCACTCGTGTTGGGGAAAGGCCCCCCCAAAGCTTTCTGGTTTTCAGGAAGCATCAAATAACCACCCTCCAAAAAACTGGGCCATTCTTAAATGCCTGGGCTTGGGCAGCGGGTAAGTATTGGCTGCTTTTGAAAGTATTGACCAAAATCTGTAACTGATATAAAGCAAATCTCTCCTTAACTCCACCAAAACAGGACCAAGTTTATTGTGATAATTAGTAATAAAGTGTTATTAAATCTTGGTAAAGTAAATGCTCAAAAAATTATTACCCATTTGCAAAACAAACCAGTACAGCGTTTCACACTTACTTGGCAGCACAAAAATAATCCTCGTAAATTAACATTAAAAGTTTTGTCCCATTCTTCTAGGGAAGTATCTTCACTTGCAGAGTTCATATTGATTCCTGCATTGTTGCATGCAATGTGAATCGTGCCCCAGTGAGCTACAATTGTATCCACAAACCTTTGCACATCCTCGGGTTTGCTCACATCTGCTGCGAGGGCAACGCTTTTAATCCCTGCGTTAAAATAAGAGTGATGAAGTCAGTGCAAGAATTCAAAGAGAAAGAAAAAGAAATCTATTTTATGATTATTTATTAATTCTCTCATATATATGTGTTATATATACGCCATCTTGATTGACTGCTCCACAACTTGTAGCAAAACGTGTTTGTTATCGTAATACCGCTATCAAAGTTGCTAACTGGGGCGAGGTTTGCTTGTTGGAGGCAAACATAAACCCGAGGTACGAGAGAGGAGTTTGCCACTCCAGCGGGACGAAGCTTTGAACACTGCACCATCTTCTGTCCAAACCCTCAACTGCAGCTTCCCCGCCCGTGAGCGGTTCCACAGCGAGCATCACCCGTGGGTGGATGGCAACAGCTCAGGGACGAGATAAAGCAAAGGACTCTTCCATTTGCTCAAACGCAGATGGTTTTTCTGCCCGCTCCCCCCAAGATGCTGCAGAAAGCAAACCAATTTGTCCAAAAAGTGCTTTCTGGATGAACTACAGCGTCCAGACAGCTGGGAGCCTCAGACAAAACCAAACCAGTTTTAGGTGGAAGGTAACTGGGAATACCTGCAGGTTCCCAAGTATGGTAGTCATGGTGCCTGGCCTTATTTATTGCAAATCACACTACCAGAATAACACAAACATTCAGAAGTTAAGAGATTTACTGGATTCGAAACATGCAAAAGCTGTACTTTTTTTCCTAGAAACATCCAGACATTGACTTTTACACCAGTGCTGATCCATAAATAGCCTCATTTACTACCAAAATCAGTTTTAAGTACCCTTGTTATTAAACAAAATAAGCAGCCTACTGAGGCACCTGATGCCAATGGGATTACACCCATCCTGAAAGTCAAACAAGGCTACCCAGTAAGGGCTGTGGGGAAAGGGATTTTAACTCACAAGGAGGGGGGCAGCCACTGGGGTTGGACCATAGATCAGCAGTCTGCAAGCAAACAGTGCGCAGGTAGGAAGTTACAGCTGATAAAGCAAGATTCTTTTTCCTTCTATTTAAATGGAAAATTTATTGCACATTGGTCCCTCTTTTAGATCATTCCAATAAAAATTTAAAAGAAGCCTAAAACCAATCCTAGGAGAACAGGAGAAGACTCTCCCAAAATGAAGCTTTGAGATGGAGACTTCCATGAAAACAAGGCAAAACAATAACTGCCCAGTGATGTTTGAACAAAATGACAGGAAAGCAGCTTTTGAATGGAAAAACTCCTCTTGATCTCCAATGCCTCCAAGACCCTGCCAGAGCGTGCACCCCAAGGTGATGCTGGTCTGGGGTGCTCCCCATGTTGGCCCATGGGACCTAATGTCCCCTCTGGCCTTCAGCTATGCCACGGTCCCCTTGCTTTCCACAACAGAGGAAAGGGCAGATCCATAATACAACCACCTACAAAAATGAATGCATGTTTTGCCACAAAACAAGACCTTTTATTTTATCACAGGTTTTATGCTAAAGGTGCTGAAAGAATAAGAATAGCCAGACAGCCCCTGTTGCTCCTCCTAATTGTTACCAAGACATGTAACGTACAGGGAGCTGCTGCAATCCTTCTTATTCAATTTACAGACAAAATGGGTGCAAGCGTGTTACTAATGGTAACAGAATGAGGCTCTTCACCTGCCCTCCAACTCTCACCCCATTTACAGCTTCATCGTATACAATAGTTCATAAAAACAAGACAAAAGGTGCCATGCGTCAGTGTCTAGTGAAGAAGCAGTGAAGGCACGCTCACTTCAAACCAGAGTCCCACACTTGACCTTAATCAATTCAGATGATATCCCTGCATTCTGAGAGAGGGGGAAAAAAAACACTTTCTGTCTCTCCACTGTCCCCCCAAACCATCTGTTAAAAATAAATAAAAAATTAAAATCAACTATGGAAAAATAGCTTAAAATCTGTAGTCCTAACCAAAGATAAGAAACCCAAGACATGACTGCGCTGCTATATGCATCTCTACAGTCCTCAGTTTAGTTTTGTGATGCTCGTGGAGGCAGTTTTGTGACGAGAGGGGCAGGAGAGGAGCCCAGTGGCTCTCTGCTGGAGAGGCATTGATGTGCCAAATTTGCCCAAGGTGCCCTTCTGCAGGGGGCATTTACATGCCCCCCCCGCCACAGGGCTTCATCTCTGGTGTCTCTGTATAAATGGAAGTAATACATTGCATAAAGACAAGAAGATCAGAAGTGACATCGTGGAGAAGGCATTTGCATAGTTTGCAGTGAAAATGCACATTTTAAAAATCCCATCAGACTAATTCTTCCCTTAAGGTACAGTCAGTGATTCCCCCTGAAGACAGAGGGGTATGTAGTGGAAGGTAACCCTTAGGATTTTTTGGTTGCGTTTCATCATTTTTGGTTCTTCTGTCAGGATCCATTAGCAACTGTTGAATAAGGTATTCACGCAGGATCTAAAAACAAAGACCCCTGTAGCCAAGGGAGATATACCCGAGCTGCCTAACAAAGCTAAAACTGAGATCACAGAGGTTCTGATGTTTAAAACTCATCATGAAATGATGGCACCATCCCAAAAGACAGTAAAGGATTCCTTGGTATAAGAGGTAAAGTGGGTTTAAGAAAGCTAAGCAAAATGTTTTGAAGAAGTATCTGTATGGGAATGACTTGTGGCACTGCGTTTCCAACTTTGAGTTGAGATCCACAACCAAAAAGGGGTGGGGGGGGGATCACAGCTCCTTTGTGCAGGAAAAATATATATTAATACTGTGATTGCTTCAATTTACTCGTGAATATTTTGAGAGTAAAGCTAGCTGAACCTTTTTGTCAAAATTTATTTCCAACAGAGTATGTTACTTCTTTGAAGCCAAAATGTTTCATGGAAACATATTGATTTCAACAAAAGTTTTCAAGGGAAAGCTTCTGAGGTCCAGGCTAGACTCTCTAGTTACCTCTGGAGAGAAAGAGATTGAAAGCCTGACCTTTTCAGATCCTTTCTAAAAATGGGCATTTGGATATAATTCCCTTTCACAGAAGCATTACAAAGTTTGGGTTTTGTTCCAACAAGGAATGACAATAAATTTGAAACCTCAAAAACCGTCGTGAGATGGAATAGATGTGTCCTGACCAGCTGCACTGATCAAGTTGATAGAGAATATGTGACCTCAAAGGATGAAGGTGTGTAAAGACTGAGAAGTGAGATTTTCTTTACTTTAGAAGTGCAATAATATTTGCTATGCCTCATGACCTCTCCGACTGCATTTTTTAACACTCCCCCCACCTCCTCTGGGCTTGCAGCCCACCGGTGAAGGAGCAGAGATGTAGGGCAGCCATTGAAGGATGGATGATCAAACTCCTACTGAAAATGCCCTGGAGAAAAGTTAAGTTAGTTTTCAAATAGGCTGTTGGCATCCAAAGTCTCATGGCTCTATCAAGTAGCCCATTTCTATCTCAATAGCTCTACTTGATATGCAGGATCTCACTGTGAAAAAATGTCCAAAAGGCAAGTTAACTTGTAGGGCACAGCTACTTTGTGCCAAGACCATATGGCTTCAGTGCATAAGAAAATGAAAAGCTTCAGGGAAGGAGGGACTGGATGACTCAAGAATTTGTAATAGGAGCTGGACACTTTATATTCTAGGTCATTGGGATCAGACCAGCAATCAAAGCTTTAACCAGTACACTGATACTCAGTGTAAACCGTCTCCTGCTTACCAGAGCTGGGATCATACAAACTGGGACTTTTTAAGATGTTCTCTGTGGAAGCTCAAAATGGTATCAAAACCAGAACTGAACCATTTCTCGCCCCTTCCTCAGGAAGTTGATTGAGACTGGGTGAGAGAAATACATCTGCAGGGGTTGGTTTTGCTGGAGAATATGGTTTCCAATGGCCCAGTCCCTTTCTGAAGTCAGAGTAGAAACAAATACTGCTGACTTTATCCAAACAGGAATGTGAACATTTCCTGAGTAAAGCTCCACCTTCAGAGGCAATGAAGTACTGAACTTCGAAGAAGGCTTGGTTGTAATCTCACAAAAGGAATTATAAAATGAGTAACACTTCCTTTCTTTTCTCATTAAAATTATATTTCCAGTTTTCTTTTTCCCCTTTACAATTGCAGTTTAGCATGACTCCAGGGGGAAATTCAATTTTATGTTACATTTTCTGTTTTTACTGCTAAAATGGAAGCGGCTTGTAGAGGATTTTACCTCTTATTTGGGATTTTTAGTTATTATGTCTATTAGTATTTTGTTCCTATATCTGATCTTGCATGTTTGAAAGAACTATAGCTGATGGTTTCAAAAATGTCTTTGCTTCAGTTTGAGGGCACAATGAGAGATTTAGGCTGACAATACCTCTACCCTGTTTTGGTGTTTTGGCTCATGGTCCAGACATTAGGTATGGAAGAGGTGCCAGGGGTACATGCTAACGAGTTTGTAGGTCATGTCTGTCATCCACCCTTAGTGAAGCCTGAGGTGCTTTGGCTGCTGCGCGATCTACTCTGAGGAACGTCAGGGCTGGATGAAAGAGAATTGCACCACAGAGAAAGGGTCAGGTTTGAACAAGGAAAGCAGCCCATTACAGCACTCATCACCGGGTCATGTAGAGCAGGACCTGCAAGTCAGTCCCACGCTTACCTTTGAGGCTGAGCTCACACACCACCGCTTCTGCCTTTGCAAGGACCAGATCCACAACGGCTACTTTAGCACCGGCTTCCCCCAAAGCGTGAGCGAAGGCTCTTCCAATTCCCTGCCCTCCGCCTGTGACATAGGCCACCTTGCCATCCAAACGCAGCCGGTCAAGGATGCGGCGCCTGCTGTAACCCCAGAAGACGTCATCCCTCACCACTTCTTTCTAAAACAAAAACATATATACATTGCACAATACGGTGCAAAGCTCAGCAAGCGATAGCTATGAAGGGCTCTGCCTGTGAGAATGAGGTGCGAGCACAAACAGGGATCCATGTCTTCTTGGCCCATTATTTAATACAAAAGGTATGACTAATTCAAGCTGAAAAGCACCCCTTACCCCCACAGGTATTAGCCTCAATAGGAGCACTAAGGTGCAAGACAATGGAACAGCAGGGTTGTGGTTTGGCAAGATGCACCGACCACACCCCTTACATGAAAAGTAGGGTATGGTATTTCCTGACCCGACTTCCTATGAGAGATGGGTCAGGTACAATGTCTTAGAAGACGATTGATTAAGTCTTCCAGTTACTTCACCCCCAGGGTCCAGTCCTGCCCTCAGGCTCAGCTGGCTCCAGGAAGGCACGGAGGCTAAGAACAAGTTTCCAAAGGCAGGATTTGGCTCAAGTAGAGTGCAATCAAAATATCTTCACGAGGCTGGTGCGCAAATAAAGATACCAGCCAACAACTTAAACCAAGCTGTCAACTGATCGGCTGCCATACATCATTTCCCCCTGACTGGAATCAAAATGGAAAATACAAGATGTTTAAAATATTGGGTTTGAAATGCCAGGAATTGCCAGTGGGTGTAGCTTTGGGAGCGCTCAGAAACTGCAAAACAATCAAGATGTTTAGGTCTGGATTTACTGAGTTAGGCCGTTATGATTCCAGATGGGAATTTCATTACAACTGGATGATGCCCACTACAACTGTAAAATGGAGAAAGATAAAAGCACCGTCTTTTTCACAGGACAAGCAAAATCTAAGGCCATGAAAATATTAAGCTCAGACACCATAGGAGGGCATCACGTGCTGCCTTTGGGCAAAAAAAGAGCTACTTCAGAAATATTGTATCAGTTCATCACAGCTGGACCCCAGCTCCATGTGCCCACACTCCCCTGCACGGGAAGGACCAGAGAGCACTGGGCACAGAAACCCAGTGAGCAGGATGCCAGCTGCTCCGGGGATTTATCACAGCACCAGCGTGGCTGATCCAAAAGACTTTGCAAGGAATCTGCATTTAATAGCTTTAGTGTAGCCCTGGACTAGTGAGGCTAATATATGCCAAGCCCTAAGCTGCTAAGTCCATGCTGCACGGCACCATGGCATGACAGAACGTGAACGTGAATTTGGGCTCTTGCCACCAAACTCGGTAATTATTTTGTCACTGTCCTCAGCAGAGTCAAAATTTTCCCAGAAGTGCTCACAGAGAGGAAATACACACCTTGGATTCAATCACTGCATCTGGAGGTGCAGGGTTCCTTCGAATGATGCTCAGTCCACTCTGTACAGGTAAAATTATCTGCAAATATAGCACATACACATACAGTTCTCAACTGCTTTGTACCTGGCTTTCTATCACCCAAATTCCACTGATATGAAGGATAGTCCTTCCTTCCCTAGGCCACAGTAGCTTTTCTCCTGCTCCTACTCTTTAGTTGAAATTCCTTCCAGCACAAACATGTCAGGCATTTGTATTTGCTCACACTCCTCTTCCAAACTCACGGCTTCCAAAAATGCCAGGAAAAAATTGCAATTTTGTCTCTCTGTTTTCTAAATCAGTGCCAGTTGCTGAGGTTTTTGGGTTTCCACTGCCTGGCTAATGCTGTCATGAGGGTATTCCAGTCTTATTCTTGGAGCTCAGCAAACCATAATAGCAACACTTTGGTGTTCTTCAGCATTTGCTAGAAGATCTGTCCTGCACCCATAGACGAATGTCAGCGGGGTTTGCCACCTACCTTCTCTGATACCATTACCACACTTCAGTGAAAGCTGCACTCAGTGTTGGAGATACAACACCAATATCAGTCTGTTAGAACATTAGATATGGAAACAACATGCTGTTTACATCCACTGAATGGCTAACAGTACGATTCAGGGCATGGAAAATTGTCATTAATTTTTCCTCTTCTACAAAGAAAAGCTTTTGCTACTGGTATGTTGATGATAGAATAAACACAGAATGACAGGAGGCACCTCCAGAGGCTGTCGGACCTGCAGATACACAACGACCTTGAGTCTACGAGGCACATACAAAAACCTCCTGGGCAGGAGCTACAGCAGGGGGGAGCGTGGAGGGGGCACCTGGGATGGAGGTAGCAGACCTCACCTGTCCCACAATGGGACCAGCCTCACAGCACAGAAGGGCAGGGGAGGTGAGGCAGGGATCCAGCCATCCGCCATGGGTCCCCTCAGCCACAGCAGCCCCTCTGCCACCCCGGTACATCCGTGGCATGCAAGTAAGCTTTACAGACTGGTGGCTACTGCCCTGGGGTAGCATCACTCATGCCTGCTTTTAAAGCCCCAGAGGATATTTGTTTAATTTTACCTCTAAAACCATAGCATATTATTTATGCACCCTATTCTTTTTTTTTTTCTCCTGCTGGAGTAGGACTTCGTTGACTCCTGTGTGCTGGTGATGCCCTACAGCCTCCAGAGCCTTTAAAAGCGGAGCGGTGGTTCCTTGGTTGCACTGTAGAGCTGATTATTCGTTCTTAAGTGCTCCACTTTTATCTTGCCTTTAACACTGTATATGATGTAGACAGAGAGTACGGACCATTTCTGAATATAGAAGCTCATACATAGAGCTCAAGTGAGGTGAATTATAATAAAATTTGAGTTCATTTTAGGTCTCCTGGATAATGGTACCAACAAAAGAAACATTTGAAAGAGTACTTTGCAAAATCCATAAATACAGTACCACAGGCACCTTAACCAATTGCATTGCACTAACCTGCTCAACACGAGGATCTGAATTAATCACTGTATTTAATTTTCTGACAGCTAGTACATTTTTATCAGATATGTTCTCCAGGTAGACTTGTCCTTTCATGAGTGTATTCTCTACACAGATCACTCCATCCATTCTCAGCAAGTGGTTATCCATGACAAAGCTGTAGTAGTTAACAGCATTTCTTTGATCAGCATCAATAAAGACTATATCAAAGTGCTCATCCTCAGCATGTAATGCCTGGAAAAAAATTATGTTGGAGAAAACACTAATTATTTACCAGAAAATTTAAAGTTTTTCCATTAAAATGTCCTTTTTATAAAACCCAAACTAGAAGGAACTCTGTTCTTTTAAGGTAACATTGCTAGAATTACTTCTGGAGATCTTGGGAGTTTTCCATGCTTTGCAAATATTTCTTCAGCAATGCTGGTGCCCAAAACTCTGAACCTCTCAAAGAAAATCAGGATATAAAAGAGCTCATCCCAGCTTGTGGTGTTGAGAGTCACAGCAGAAACATCTGCGCATCTAGAGTCAAAGCAAATTGATCCAGCAGGGTAAGGGAGAGGACTGGCATCAAAACACTGCGGCTGAGGTGCTGCAATAAGTTATCTCTTCTCAAAAGAGTAACTATCAACAAATTGAAGAGTGGTGGTGATTATATCAGTCTTTGGGAAAAAGAGGCGTAAGGCTGATCCTGGGAATTGCAAACTAGTGAGTCCCACTTCAGTAGCAGGAAAATGGTTGAAATCCCAATTAATAATAGAATTATAAAGTGCATAAAAGAACAGGTCATGATAGAGATAAAGCAGCACAGCTCCTGTAAAGGAAAATGATGTTTCTTTAATCTAAAAAAATGCTTTGGATGGCTCAGCAACAGAGAGGATAAAAGAGAACTGGCTGCTATCATCTAATTGGATTTTCAGAAATGTGGCACACCTTCCCTCCAAGCAGGCTGCTGATGATAATGTATAAAAGTGTTGATGGATGACCAGATGGGAGCCTTTACAGCCTTCTCCTGTGGCAGTTAATGCACTCGCTGCCCAAGAGGCTGCTATGGAATATTTCAGATTCCATCTGGGACTATTTAACTGCATCTGTGTGCGCTGCAATGAAACAATGGCTCATCCACCTATCTCGGCAAGCAGAAATGCTTTCAAGTCTTGGCATTTCGAGTGAAAAGAGAAACAATTATGTTTTCCAGAACTCACTGTTTCTACCACAACTTTTAACAGTACTTCTTGCGTCCAGATTTCCCTTTTGTGTTTGGAGACATTGTGCACAATGAATGATGAGCAATCCCCTGAGAGGTACGGGAGAAAGCACCAATAACAAATGGCAACAGAATGTGAAAAACTAATTTGTTTTCGGGAGTGAGGTTGATGACTCCCAAACAGAGATTTCAGGAGCCTTTCTGAAGCAGGGAGCGCATCATTCAAACAAGGAAATAGCGGGAAGTGGATCATTCAGGCTCTGAATTACTCTATTGTGCAAACTGGTGTCATCGTGAGCTTGTTAGTGGTTAAGAAATTAAGCCTGCCTGAGAGCCTGGATAGTCACACTTAACTGCAGATGCTTGATAGCACAGAAGTTCTGCCAAAAGCATTCATGAGTCCACATTTAGGACACCTTTTGATACTACAGTATAATGAAAGAAGACCTTAAGGCCAAATATATACTGGTTTATAATAGATGTAGCGGAAACTGGGACATCTGGTTTCCTGGGATTCACCTTTTCATTTCATGACCAGCAAGAAAATTTTTCCCTGGTTACCTCTTGAGCTGTGTTGGGGGAAAGCAGCAGGAACATTTTTGCTACTGTGGAAGAGCATCTTATGTCACGTTGCAACTTAGTCAGTCTGTCCAATGTAGATACTTCAGGAAGGGTCAGAAGATGAAAGCTGGGAGGAGGAGTCCATCGGGAAGAGAGATTAGAGGTCTCATTCCCTGGAGAGAAGAGCCAAAGCCAAATTCAAGTAATTATCATGACTTATCACTACTTTCTGTCTTGTAACCTTCCCGGGTGGAGGAGGTGGGGGGCAGACATTCAGAAGCAGATGTGGCCATCTCTGAACATATGTTACTACTGCTCCGTGGTATGGCTCCCTAATGAAAAAGAATCTCACTTTTATGAATTGACTTCATTAAGTCCATATGGAGTTGTGTAGCTCTTTGGATATTAGCTGGACTTCTCATTTCAGCCCTCTTTCTGTACTGTCTACCTGCTGACAGCTTACGTCCTTCTTATCTATCTTCTGGTACAGATCTACCACCTTTTAACTTCACAGCTTTCATCCTAGGAGGGTGCCTGTGTTGTCTGTGTATCCAGCACATGTCTGTTTTGTCCTTGCACCGCCTGGGCGTGCAAGGCCGCTGTTTGGAAGGCATTTCTCTTCTGCCAGTTCTTCAAGTCCTAAATGGCCAGCGATGAAGGTCATTTGGGCACCATTCATTTTTCTAGATACCTAGTACTAGACACCTGTATGGAAATGCCTGAATCACTGCCTTGGAGTTTATACTGCGACCCTGCCATCATTTGAGCTTCTTGGTTCCACAGCTTCAAGACTGCTGTTGGGTTTTCCAGGTTTAGTTGGAAACAGCTCCAGGCCTATAAGGGGAATCCATGAAATTCCTTGAACCAGCTTTGCCTCTGGAGCAGCCTCTACATAGAAAGATAACAGCCACAGGAATGGGAAAGTGCTCCATTTCCTGGAGCTCCTTGGCTAGCAGAGCCTGGGTCACCTGGACAGGCAGTCACCGTGGCCAGGGTACCAGACTGAAGAGGGT